CTTCGGCCAGTGAAGCAACGTCCTCCACAACTAGACTGAAGAACAAAAAGGACAGCAACTTGTCTGTTCCCCTCCCCCAATTCTCCAGCACTGTTTCCATGCCCCCAATTCCCCAATAAAAATCTTTAAATTAAAAAAAAACAACAAAAAAACAAAAAAAAACATTCTTCACAAGTTGGGAAAAGTGGGAGAAAAGTTAAAGGACAATTAACTGTCATTTCAATCACACTGTATTGCTATAAAGTTTGGTAGTCATAATATTCTCTAACAAACACAAAAGCTTGAGAAGTCATGGATATGATTCAGCTACTCACATCCAAAAGCTAGCTAATTCCATAAAACAGTCACTCATTTCTAAGATCACCCACTGACAGGAAAGAAAAATGTCATGAAGGCTAGCAATCCTAAAGTTTCTATATGCCTAAAAGACAACCAAACCATTTGTAAAGAATTTGTTTAAGCTCAGAGAAATAATCAGGAGGTATAATAAACCTCTGTATAATAAATCCTCAATACCCCTCAAATAATTTTTCAAAGGAAACCAGACCCAGGGCACCTGATTATTTTCCGAATCACAACCCCAACTCCACTTAAAAAAAAAAATGTAAGGAATTTGTTTAAAGAATGCTTTATTTGGAAGAAAGCTACAACAAAAACAAGCCATTGAATCAACTAAAACACATTACACAGTGAAACCAATTCTTATTGAGAAAATGTTGACAGAATAAATATGGTGTGTGTCTAAGAACTAAGTATTTTATATAAACAAAGTACAATTCATTCTATCAAGTGCCATTAATTAAACTCTATCCAGCCCATATTTGGTTGGTTTCAACCAACTGAAAAGTGTGCAGGAAAAAAAAAATCTATCATTTAACTAGATATTCAGATCAAATTGATTGCAATACATAAATCGTTTTTATAATACAGGAAGCAAACAATTACCCGAAATACCAGTTAGTGCTACTGTTTGAACCAACTCGATGAATGGTTGGAGAGCAAACGAGCTGAATCAGAGAAATTTGCTTTGACATTGAGAAACTACTTTTAAACAACAAAAAAAGTGCATTTCCCCTACTCTATCTTAAACATTGCTTACATGTATTTTATTCAAAAATAACTGCCAAACAATAACTGTCTTCTGTAATTGACATGCATTTGACATTCATTTATTCCCTGCAAATTACTACTGAAAACACATCACCACCTCATGAATCATCCCTATATAAAGTCACATGAAACTTTATTTAGAAATTATAGCAACAGAAAGGCTTGCTACAGAAAACTGGTATTTTTATTTTTCTTTAATAAAGACTGAGCCACCATTTTTTTTAACTTTAGCAGTGAGGAAATTTACAGCTACATCTGCATCTCAAATCTATGCTCAATTAATTCATCTTAACATGATACTCTTAGTTTTATTTTTTTTGGTACTGGTTTTGGAATTCTTTTTTTTTTTTTAACCAATAGTTCTTTTAGGCGTTGCTTTTATAAACTGACTAAACACTTTTGTGTAAAAGATAGTGCACATAAGAATAAAACATAAATATTTTCTTACTAGTGGTTTTCTTTGACACTTATAAATCTGAAATATCTAAATTTAGAAGCTAGGTAAGTAGGGTTCATCAGCATTTCAAATGAGTAGAAAGTATTATTCAGAACTTATGCAGATGTATACTTTCATACTTTTACCCTTAACACATCCTTTATACTCTTAGAAATAATTCAGTTTTAAAAATACAAATCCACTTCTGGGACCTGTTATAATATATACTCGACTCTTTGCATAATTAAACTGAAAATTGAAAATAAAAGCTTCCAGAATTTTAAGGTACAGAAAGGATGCTAATGAGTCCAAGTTTAAAAGAAAAAAAAAATCACCTTTTTAAGAAAAGGGAAAGAAGGGAAGCTAATGTGCCAAAGTTTAAAAGAAAACCAAAACTTTCTTTTTAAGAAAAGTGAGAGAAAAAAAAATGACTTGCCACATGGAAGCTT